TTTACAGGTGTTTCATGCAGTTACTGAATAAGTTGCCTTCAGATTTGGGCGTGTAAATTCAGATGGAAAAACCAAAATATACCCACAAGCATAGGCCAAACAGAAGTTACTAATCACAGCTTTCTGCTTTATTATTCTCACTATTTCATGTTCAGAAATGAGTGCTGTGTCGGCGCTGCCTGTCTGTTTACCGTGTCTAATATCTGTTTTATTTATAGTATTTATTGTATTGTTTCTAGTTTGTTTTGCACACTCACGTCTGCACGTTTGCACTTGTCTGTACTGTCTATTTTGTTCCATGCTGTACTATGTTGGTCCTGGTCACTGTGTATTTGTACACAGATGGAATGACAGTAAAAGCCTCTTGACTTGACTATTAGCGTTTCACTCCAGTTTACTGTACAGGAGGGCAGCGGTCACTGTGTTTAGAGACCAGGCTGGAGCAGAGGGTTTAGCCTGTGATTGTGTCAGGATGCCAGGTCAGGATATCAGGCTTACTCTCTCTGACTAAAGGCCAAATCCTCAATCCACAAGGACGCGTCTCTCTGAACCACCGTGACCTCTCGCTTGGGCCCTGGCTCACCGCCACCGAATTTTCTGAAATCCTGAAGAGAACGTTTGAGGACCTTAACCTTTCGAATACACTGAGCACCACTTATGACCAGCACAAAGACAACAAGAACATTCCAGCTGCGTTCACAGTGTTCGATTCTGGTTTGTTACTGTGACGTATATCAATTAAAAAAAAAAAAGATTCTCTAGGAAGTACTGTGCGAAAGTCTCAAGCACCCAAGCAAACTATTTGAAACCATTTATCTCGGCAGTCAGTGTGTTTTTGCAAGTAAAAGCTCCAGGTATTATTAGAATAAATGGAAAGAAACATAAATACGGTAAAAAGTAACAAGGAAAGTGATTGATATCTTGTGGATTTAAAGAACAAAGTTTGATTCCAGATTTCTCCTAGACGCCTCCAGCCGTCACATGGATTTATTAAATTCCATCAGCTGCACACTTGGTTTATTTTAATGAAAGCAGGAGCTGAACGATAACATAAAATAATACAGGGCTTCTTCGAGGAGAGTGCAGGAAAAGGCTAAACACATTGACATACATAAAAAACAGTACTTACAGTAGTAATGTTCTTTGTATTTATTGATTTATTGTAAAATTAGTGCAAATAAACACTTCCTGACCAATTTAATATATATATATATATCTCACTGTTGTCAGAAGAAAACCTCATATCTCCATTTTTCATGTTTCCAGTTTTTGACATACTTTGAAAATACCTGTTGTCTTTTACAATGTGTATTAATTTCATGATGAATGGACCATAAGAAACGGCTCAAAATTTGAAAAAAGTCTGGTTCCATTGACTTACATTAAAAGTAAAGTAGGTTTATTCTTCTCCTATAAAGTTATCATTTTGGAGATCTTCTGACAACAGTAATATATATATATATATATATATATATATACATATATATATATATGTATGTATGCATTGTGGGTGTCAGTTTCTTTATAAGTTAATTCTCAATGCTGTACAGATTTCTCAATCAATTATCATGAAATCACTTACAGCTCTATTTATCATCCAAAACATCTTCAAACTGAAACTTTTTTTTAAAAAAACTGTTTGAATTTTGTTTTATTGTAGAATCACTTCATACACACAGCTTTAAAGAAATTAGCTTTACATGAATGAACTCAGTGACCCGAAGCTTTTGAGCGGTGCTGTATGCTCTTTTATGCTGTTGTGAGGTTTTAGTATCTGATGTTGAATTAGGTTGAGATGTGTTATGTATATAAGGTGCTGTACAGTTAAAGTTACTGATATTATCATTTCCTAAAGAGCTGTTCTCCTGAGCCCTGGGTGAACTGAGTGAATGTGCACCACTTACAATTAGCTAGAACATTTCAACTTCACATGAATGTAAACTAATACTGCATAGAGGTTGAGATGCTGATCAGTGCGTATGAAGTAGATGGCTGTTCCACCTTCAGAAACTCCACAAGGTGTTTATACAGTAATTCAGGCCCAAAGTGGACCTGCTGGTACGTTTTGCAGTGAAGCATGTTAGCGCTGGGCCTGGCTGTGCTGTCCTCTGTAAGCACATCCTGAGCACCTGCACTTTAAGCCAACCTGCCAGAGCTAATCTCTGAGCAGCCCAGGATCTCTTGGCTTTGATTTTGGGCAGGTTTGAATAAGGACACAGGAGGTGTTTGGGTCACAAACCAAAACTTGCCAAAGACTTTTAAGACCAAACAGCCAGGCTGGAGGACAAGGCACAGCATGTGGCATCCACACAGACTGACGTGACCCATAGGCAAAGTACTGAGGAAGGGAAGGTAAGGAAGGTACCAGGTCAGGGGTCAAGTAGATTTGGAAACCGTCACTGTGGTAACTTTACAGGAGAAGGAAAAAACATTCTTAACTTTTAATGGAAATTAATTTTAAGATTTTGAACCACTTCTGGTGGTCCATTAATGAAATATAATGAAATAATGAATATAATGAAATAATATTATAATAATAAATAATATTATATTATAATATTATATTATAATGAAATTCTAACACAATGTAAGGGGAGTTTTCAAATTGTACAAAAAAGAGAACAAATAAAAAGAAAAATGGAGATACAAGTCTCTTTTTGGGTGGGACCCAACCTAACTCACTCCTTCAGGTTTAGCACTCTGAATATTCTCCACAAGGGGGAGCCGTTAGCACTCAAGTAGTTTTTTGTACGCATCACTGAAAGAAAACAAAACGGCATGACTGCACTAAAAAAAAAAAAGAACCGACAGGATTGTCTGACCTGCAAACAAAAAAAAGTGGACATTAAATGAATTGTGTCTTAAAGTAACTGGTCTGTGTAAAATGGACAAGGGGAAGTGCTTTTCAATTAATGAAAACTATTTATTGTGATCTAAAGAACATTTCATTCTAATGAAACTCAAACAAATTGCACCAAAATGTTTCAATTATGTTCCATTACCAACTGAACTCTATGTTGGGTTTGTAAATTCTGTGTATACTGACTCTGCTCTGTTTGATTGAATGGAAATGTGTGGTATAACTGAATTAAGTTCATACACTGATTCATTTTTTTTGTGTGGATTTGTTTTATTGTCATTGTGAAGCGTTTAAAAAAAGTGTGGATCTGAGAAAAGTGGTATTCAAATGAAATGTATTCACTGCTATCAAGGAAAACACAGCTTACACACAGGTTGTTGTTGTAGTTGGCTACAGCCACGCCGTATTAAAAGAGAGTTTTGTCTAATAATTCGCTCTAAGCTTCACTACATCTTGCTTCCTAGGCCGTCAGCATTAGACTCCTGGTTATTCCTGAACTACGCTTAAACACAGTGAAGGAAGGCCAGCCCCACCTTCACAACAGGCATAACCTGGTGAATAAGTACTGTAGAACTGAACAACCCAATATTAGCATGCAAACAGTTCTTAAACATGCCACATTATTAATATTATTAATATTATTATGAACCCACTCTAGGCTAGACTAAAGGCTTTGTTACAGGATTCCCCATAAAGCTATATAATAAAGTGAAGGATATGCTATCTGAATGTCTCTTACAGGCTTTACGTGTCTATAAAGGTAACTGAAGTGTTATTAAGTGGTATTAAGCACAGTGGAACAGTGTATATACACCATGAATATGAATAGCTTGGCGCTAACGGGACACTATGACTCAGTGATCTCACAGAGGATTCAGCATGATCACAGTAGACCTGTCTGAGAATATCTCAATCTGGGGGGGGGGGCATTACCTGATAATCTCAATACCAGATCTAGAACCTATGCAGATTCTCTTCCGCTGCTGTGACTGGGTTTTCTCATGCTTCTTCCAGCCAGAGAGCATTAGCACATGCCGCTGAACTCACTATTGGTCTCGCTGTCGTTCTGGGTGTGATGCATTAATAAGGTACTGTGGCTCTGCAGGAATCATGTGTCAGTGACCAAACAAAAACCCAACAAGAAGCAAAACAACTGAGCCATCATGTAGACCCATCATACACAACTGCCCGTTTAGTCTGACCCTATGTTGGACACTGAGAGTGAAGTAAGCACACTCTTAAAAGTGATGGTTCTTCATGGGTTCTGTATTCAAGACAGTGGTTCTATTATGAACCATGAACACTCAAAGAACCATTTGCATGCTTAAAGTGTTCTTCGTATGGTGAAATGGCTCTTCAGACTGAAGGAAAATGTGGTTCTATGTAGAACCTTTTGAAAATGGTTCTATATTGCACCAAGAAAAAGGTTCTGCTTTTGTTACAATTTCAGGCTTGTAATAGTACTAGCAAAACGAAACCTTTGTGGTGCTATATAGAACCATATACAGCACTCTCTCCATCAATCTGAAGAACCATCTCACCATTCAGAGAACAAGTTTCTGTACAGAACCAAGGACAGTCAAAGAACCTGCATATTTGCAAAGTGTCCCAAAGTCTGAAAATCAGTGTGGAACATTAAGAATCGTCATATTTTCTGCAATTCAGCACTTTTTTAGTGTTTTAATGAAAAATATGATGATTTTCTGTGTGAACAGCTGTTCAAAGCTGTGTTTGAACTCAAAATGACCCAAAATGACCACTACCGAAACAGTCACTACTGAAACACTGAATCAGTTCGGTAGAATGATGTATATAGTGTCTTTCATCAGCAGCGCAGATCACTTAGTTTCAGTAGTATCACCAGAAGGTTTTAGAGCAATCACATAGAAGAACCCTCAGGAATCTTGCAGTAAATGGTTCTTTAAAGAACTCATTTTAGGTCATGAGGTGTTGAAGTGTGAAAAACCTTTTAAAAGTTTACCATAAAGGTTCTATACCAGCCAGAGGCTTCTTCTAGAACCGTCCCATTTAGGAACCTTCAGTTTTATAAGTATAGGAAGGAAGCTGAGGAGAATAGCGTACGTCAGAGACACTGTAGGGTCAGTATGTTTATCCCAGCGACGGAACAAACGGTACTCACGTTTCAGGTGGGATCCTCATCTGCGCACATGCTGGGAGACACATCCAGCTGAGGGAAATGATCCCGAAAACAGTGACCACTGCTCTTCTGTCCATCCATCCTGTGGACGGCACTTGTGTCCTTTCTGGCTGTCCTGCACCTGTGTTCATCCTGGCTCTTGTCCTGCTGGGGGACCACCACAGCATCAGCACCGAAGCACACAGATCAACCAGTATCTTTCACAGGATATGCATGCGTCTGTCCCGCGTCCCAGAGCGGGCTGGACATCAGCAGGCACGAGTCAGTTCAGCCAGCATGCGCATGCCACTGAGGGTCCAGTGCTGCTCTAGGAGTTTTGGCTGCTGTGAGGTAACAGAAATGGGTCCAATCCTGGGTTCCTCCAAGGTTCCTCATCACCAAACTGTGGTGTCCACCAGGCGTCCTTCCATTGCTTTCATTCTGGCTTTCTTGGCCAGAAAACCAAAAGGCACAACCTCAAACAAACCAGCCTATAAACTAATTACTAGAACGCTGTATGTGTGTTTGATTCCCTCCAAGATAAAAGTCATCAATCCTTCTCGCTCCTCGACTCTGCCGGCTTCCAAAGTCCCGTGCCAGTTGCTAGACGCCCGCAAAGAACCCAGGACGGGACCGGATGTAGTGGCCCTCCGGCTCTTCCTCCTCTCCCTCTCCCTCTCCCTGTCTCTCTCTCACTCACCCACTCACTCACTGCTGCCTCTGTTAACCCGAGAGGGAGGTGAGCGTAATCCGTCTGGATTATGTTATCAAGTGGGGGAGGGAGAGAGAGCAAAAGGGAAGGGGGTGGGGGGTAAAGGAGGGGGGAAAGGGGGGTGGGAGAGAGAGAGAGGAGAGGAGGGGCTGATGTATCACAGAGGATTATATCACGATATCTAGAGACTGTCCAGTCGTTTAGAGGGAGCTGCAACACAAAGAAATGCTTTTGGCAAAGTCACTGACTGTAAACAACCTCCGCCAATTAATCCCACGCTCAGGATAGTGTGCATATAGATAGATATATACACAAAACATTATTGATCCTGCAGCTGTGAACATCATAATTTATATTAAAGGGCCCATGTTCTAATTTTTGTGCATGTATGTGGTTTTATGTACTAAAAACACTCATAATTTATTTTTAAATGACCATTTTACAAACTTTCATTAGAATTAAACTGGCTGTTTCTAACCTCTTACGCTTGTGGGTATATTTTGGTTTGTCCATCTAAATTTACATGCAAATTATTCAGTGACTGCATGAAAATAAATCTAAATGCTATATGCTTACAATTTACTGCTGAAAGCCTAAAATCAATCTGTATTTTTTAATAAAAATAATGTTTACAGAGCAGATCACCGAAGAGACGCCATCTGTTTATAGTTTATAGCCCAGATTTGTGGAAAAATGGGTCGACTTTCAGTAGAAAAAAAAGTTCAGCTTCTTTTATTATAAGGGTTTAAAATTACATAACGCATCTATTTGACTGGAGAGAAGACAGTTACAGCTCTCATACGACCCCCACCTTTAGAATGTAGCTTATGAAATATGAAAGTTATGAAGTAAAGAATAAGTGCGTTTTGGAACCACCGGGGGTTCCACAGAGTTAAAAAGGCTAACACAGTCCCTTTAAGACTGACATATATATATATATATATATATAAAAATAAAATTAGCTCTGCTCTGTTTGGCTAGATATTCTGTAACTTCAGCATGAGTGGGTGGGACTAAACTGTTGTATATACATCCACTGGCCACTTCATTAAGTCCTTCATTAAGTCATTAATGGCCTCCTTATCAACTCCACCTGGCATATATGAGGAATATATTCCATCCACATATGAATATTTTCTCTCATATATTTTTAAATATGCATGTTACACATATATGCTTGTATAAATTGATACATGGCTGAAATGTATGTCCCATATTTAAAAACAACCAATTTCAAATAAGTTGGCATGTAGGTCACATATATGACAAAATCTGAGCTGAACAAGTTTATATATTGTCTTTATCCAAAAGAAAACCATCTCCGTTTTTGTCGATTTTTATTTTTCTACATCATTTCGACAAACAAAAATGGAGATACAAGGTTTTCTTCTGACAGCAGCGATATATTGCCATGTATCAGATTTCCATACAGGACATTAAACACAAACTAGCTCTGCAGTGTTTTTCAGCTGTTTGAAGCCGTCAATACTGAGTGGATCAATACTGACTCTTCTTTCTGTAAAAGACTGTCTGCATGTTTATTCACAAGACTTCAACATTTAAATAAGTCAGGTAATTTTAACTTACTGCAGCTATTTGTTTAACCCTTTAAATGTCCAGAGGGGCTTAAAGTTTTATTACACACTTCTATAATCTAAGAACAGCTGAGCCAGTTTGCATTGAAGTCCCTGTAGTAACTGAATAATAAGCCTTAGTATGTAAAAAGCCTGAGATTTTAAGGGGTTAATAATTTGTTGTTAAGACCATTAAAGCTGAACGTTTTGCTTTTTTTGCATGGGAGTGTAGTGTTATTGACCAGTCCAGCAGCAGCAGGTCAGTGCTGCCCAGCCTTAGGTGACTCATCACAGAGTCTCCAGGGTCTGACACATTGAGCAGCACTCATTCTCTGGGAACTTCCAGTTGCACAAAGTTTCCAGAGCTTCACAAACTGTGAGCAAAAACAAATCAAAAGGAATCCAAACATCTAAAATACAACATCCGAAAGGAATAATTTGGCAAAAAAAAAATCAACAATGACGAGTTTGGTGCCCAGAATTTACGTCTTAGCGTTATAAAAATGGTTTGCCAGTTTAATCTAAATAATTTACATTTATTTCATGGTAACCAGAGACATAGCCAATAAAACCTGGCTGCCCCTCTGGCTACCCCAGTTATGGAAAGTGAGAGTCAGGCATCATCAATAAAGCATCAATTGCGCTTTATGGTGAAAATCTGCCACCAGCATGTTTCACAGCTGAATACATGTGTGTGTTGCAGGTTCCCGTATTCAGTGCTGAGCTTTCTAATCACTACACTCAAAGCAAAGGCAGCCTAATTTAATAAGCTCTGTGTTTATGAAATGTTATCTTAACGTTGTGCACCGAAAAAAGTGATGCATTTAATTTACTTGATTAAAAAACACATAAATGACTAAAATACATTAATCACAGTTTTGTCTCCTTAAAAAGATGGTTCTTCAAGTGTTCTTTAGTAAGGAATGTGGTTCTATATAGAACCATGATCACTCATAGAACCCTTTGAATAATTAAAGCGTTCTTTACATCATGATAGAGTTCTTCAGATTGATGGCAAATGTGCTGTATGTGGTTATATAAAGCACCAAAAAAGGGTTCTTCTATTGTTATAAGCTTGTATCACGCTTTTCATTCTATATGGAACCCTTTTCAAAAAGGTTCTATATAGAGCCATATACTACACACTTAAAAATGATGGTTCTTCAAGGGTTCTTTAGTAAAGAAAATGGTTCTATATAGAATCATGAACACTCAAAGAACCTTTTGCATGATTAAAAGGTTCTTTGCATCAAGAAAGGGTTCTTCAGATTGTGGGCGGGGCAAGAGACGCAGCCCTGTTATTGGTCATTGGAATGCTTATAGAAGTGTTACTGAAGATTAGGACTGCCCAGTTTACATCGAGAGGAGAGAAATGTGGTGAATTATATCGGTCATTTATTGGTCAGTGGAACATTATTCAAAGCGTGAACTTAGTAGTGTTTACCGTTTGCCTACAAGAACAAGATTAACCTCATTAGAAAGCAGTTGTGGACAGTAATGATGTAAATGTAATTTGTTACTGTACCTAAGTAGTTTTTTCGTGTATCTGTACTTTACCACTACATTTCAATGTCAAATATCTCACTTTTTACTCCACTACATTATGAGAAATCTGTCGTTCCTTTTGGTTTATGTGTGTATAAAAACGTAACATGTCAAAACAAAAGAAACGCGAAATAAGAACACCAATCAGGGCACAGCGGTCACTTTGTTTTGAGCTTGTTTTGACCTGTTGGTCATACCGACCCAGTGCAGCACACGGTTCAACATCAGTGCAGCAGCGTAAAATTTTGGGAGAGTCTATTCAACATAAATGATGAACTAACCTAACTTTGTGTAAATAGACCACAATATAGAAATATGTACACATATGCAGTTGAGACTGACGTGTCTTTATTCTGAATTTATACAAACAATATTTCATTTTATAGTAAATTAGTTTAGGCTAGGTTATGTTTATGAACAGAGACCTACAGATGCAGTTTAGTAAAGGAAACTCATTTGTGAACCTGAGTTTAAAGTTTTATTAAACTTAAACTTGTAACTAAGTTCAAATAAATCTTAAACTGAAACTTTGCTTGTTTGTAAAAAGTGATTTCAGAGCCACTCAGTTCTACCTGATGGAAACTGTTTGCCTTCAGTGTTTTGTGTTTATGATAATTTTAATAGACATCAGCGTCACTAATTAATTACATTCTATTAAAAGACTGGTTTACCAAGAGAGACACTGGAGTATTTTCACCTAAAATGAGTTAATGAAGCGAGTCTTGTTATAAAAATGATAACAGGACATCAGAGCCATAATTAATCTTTTAGTACTTTCACTTTCAATACTTAAGTACATTTGAAGGCAAATCCTTTTGTACTTTTACTCAAGTGGAGGTCTAAAGGGAGGAACTTCTACTTTTACTGCAGTAATATTTTACCTTGGGTGTCTCTACTTTAACTCAAGTACATGGTTTGTGTACTTCGTCCACCACTGTTAGAAAGAAATCACATATTTAGCTTCTCTGGGTCTTTATGCTCATTTACATCCCAATCTTAACCATTTATGTTGCTGTAATATTCCAGCTGACATGAACTTGTTCCTGTTAAAGGTCTACAGATGTGAAGTGTCACTCACTAAAATACCTGAAATAGTGGATTATATAAATAGGATCCCATTAAACGAAAAATCTTCCTCACTGTGGGTGTAAAAGTCGATGGTCTCAGTGAAAAACCCACATTCACATGATATTTCACTCCAAATCTCTTTTAATCTAAACATTTTGACGGTTTACAGTCAGATTAGTTATTCATACTTAGCATCGCTGAAGTCATATACTGCTAATAAAACACTTTCACAG